GTTTTCTGGATTTGTACCTTAAGCGAAGGCTAGTTTAAGAGTTGGTAAATCAATCGGAATATATGTACCTTAAACTAATGACCTAGCTTAAGAGTTGGTTAGAAGTACCTTAAACTCTAATAAGTTTAAGAGTTGGATAAAAGTACATTAAAACTAGAATTAGTTTAAGAGTTGGATAAAAGTACCTTAAACTAGAACTAGTTTAAGAGTTGGTAAACATTAAAAAGATTGGCCTTAGACTAAGAACAGTTTAAGGATATTAATAGGATGTTGAATGTTGAATATGAATATTGAATGACGAATGTTGAATATTGATTATTGTATATTTGAACATTGTGTGCATGATATCAAATGATTTGATTATGAATTTAGATTCAAGTTATATGGATGTTCGACGCATTAGATATGCTTACTCAGCTTTACCGCTGAGCGTGTAGTGTGTTTTATTTGCTACACGCAGGTAAGCAGAAAGCACAATGTGATCCTGGCGGCAGATGGGGCGAGATTGTCGGGATGGATGTGACAAGTTTGAAATGATTTATGATATGTCAAAATTAAATTCGCTTCCGCAATATTGTTGAATACTCCGTACTGTATATGTTATGAAAAATTATTGGGATTAATAAAGTGTGTTTGAAAAGTTTTAAATTTTTACGATTACCAAGTTAATACTTTAGTTCGGAAGGGGCTGCAGACTTGGACGGATTAGGGTGTTACAACGGGCCTTTGAATTGCATGACTCCGGGCCGTGTGGAGAGTTGACAATCCTCCATATCGTGGTTAAGGAAATGAATCGACTCGGCCTTTGATTGATTTTTTCTATTCTTAAGTGCGTAAGTTACGTAATATATTGTCTACGTGCCTATTATACGTGTAATGTTCAATTTGTTTTTGTTCTCTTTTTTCATTTTGTTTCGGGTTCTTGGTGGTGTTTCTTGGGTTACTTTTGTTGGAGTAGATGATTATCTTTAGAGCTTGTTTTCCCCCATTTAATCAAAAAACCAAAAAAATAAGAAAATATAAAAAACCAAAAAATATTTACTTTTTATTCAAACCCCCCTTTGTGTTGTGTTTAAGTTATATTGTAAATTCTTTGTTTATATAAGTTTTATTTATAAGTTTTATACGTCTTATCATATGTTTAGTAGTTAGTTTGTTTTGTTTAGTGACAACGTGTGTGCATGCTAATTTGGTTTTAAAAAGTACAAACTTTCTCCGTGGGATCGACCCTTACTTGCCCTAGCTATAGTTTTTATTTGATTATATCTTGGGGGTTAGTTAAGGATACTTTATAAATTTTTAATTTGTTTTGGACCGTAGGACAAGTCCCCAACAAATTTTGGCGCCGTTGCCGGGGAAATTGTTTTGTAAAAAAAATCAGTTTCGTATGCATATGTGTTCTTGTAAGAATGTTGTAAATTCTTTATCTTTACTTTTATTTTTTACCTTTATTGTATCTTAGAGTACATATGTGATTTATTAGAGAGCTAGAATAAACTATGTTTTTGTAAAAAAAAACATATATGTTGTTGTCAATTGTTGTATTTTATGCTTTTTTTCTCTACTGTTCATATATGTTATATTTAAATTGCATTGATGTTGTATAATAGTATGTACAGCTTGTGTGTAATCATTTTGTATGTCTTAGTGGCTGATTTTCTAAACGAAAAAAAAGAGAGAAACTCAAGTGTTTTTACTTCCTGATTTTTCTCAAAATCTGCAGTATTAGCTCTATGGTTTGATGTTTTTGTCCCTTAGAGTGCTCCATATGCTTGAAATTTAAAATATCATTGCTCTATCTTGCTTGGGGACAATACTTAGAAGCATATCATGAGGTTTCTATGCTGATTTTGATGCCTATTGTGCTGAATTTTTGATAAAAACTGATCCAAGTGCTGTTTTTTTTTAAAAAAATCTGCATTCTATTTTATGCGCATGCTGATTTTTGTGTTCCAAGATGCCTATATGCTGAATTTTGAAGTTTCATTGTTAAAAACTTGCATGGGAACTTATGTGAGAGCATTTAGCATGCGTTTTTAATCTTGTCTTGATCGATCTATGCTCCGTGTTGCTCTCAAATTGAAAAAAAATGCAGAAATCTATTTCAAGAAGACTTTGAAGCCTATTTGTGCAACTTTAAATCTGATTTTTCCATTCTTAATGGAGCTTAAAAATGCTATTCTTAGAGTTGAATTCAATTCTTGATGCTTATCTTGTTTTTATCTTTTTGGTTGTTTTAAAGAAACACACTTGCTTTACTACTTCATGCCTTTAGTGAATATTTGTTTGCAAGTAGTAAACTGTGTCTAGCCAAAGACATTAAATCGGGAGGCTTATGGGAGGCAACCCACTATCTTTTTAAGTTTTTTTTTAAAAAAATCTTTTTACTTCTAACTTCTAGTAATTGTTGTACTTTTTTTTCTTCTTCTCTTATAGTTGTTGATTGCATTTTTTTTCCTTCCTAATTTTTTTTAACATAGCCCACTTACTTTTATAGCGTTTTTAATTTTTCTTTAAGCTCCTTATGCTTACTACTAACTTTAACTTGTTGTTGTACTTAATTTTTCTCCCCTTGTAATGGTTAATTTAGTTTTTATTCTCTTTCTTTTAATAACTAACGCACTTTTCTTGTAATTGTTTTTCCAAATCGATCTAGTTGTACTTATTGTAATTATAGGATTATTTTTTTTCTCTCTTTCATTTAGTTTTTTTTAATGTATAAAATCAAAACAAAAAAAAATATCTTGTTGAGCTTAATTGTTTATTTTTACTTTACCTGTGCTTCTAACCATCTACTTTGAGAGTTTTTTGTAAGATTCGTTGAGATTTAGGTGGAAGCAAAATGTTTGGAGTAAACATCTGCACTTTAAGGTGCAAAAAAAATGATGTGATTTGGAACAAAAACTCCGAGTGCTCGAGTGTTGGTATATTGTCTATCTTATGTTTTTTGAAGTCTTGAGTGTTTACATTTGATCATTTATTGCTGAAATCTAAAAATTTTGCACTTTTAAGGCTGATTTTTGAGTACCAATGGAAAAATTCTGCACTTCTCAATTTGATTTTTGGGCTATAAACTGAAAATATGCACCTTGTAAGCTTGTTTTTTTGAGTGTAGAATGAAAATTCTACACTTTTCACGGCTTACATGTGCTAAAATAGAAAAAAATTACATATTTGAAATCTGATTTGTTGTTCTTCAACGCTAAAATACTTGGTCTTAGCCTTCTTTTTGCAGATTTTTAGGCCCAAGAAAAGCATGATAAGGAACAGCGAATGATGAATTGATGTTGCGTATACTTTTTTAAACTTGATTCCCCATACCCTCTTCTCTCTTGGCTCATTCTCTTGGTTATATCATTATTATTTATTTGCATATCATTTAGATGCATCGAGGACTATGCATGATTTAAGTGTGGGGGGAGATTCTCATGTTTGTTCTGTTGTTTTGGAAGGTTGATTTTTGGGCAAATTTTTTCAAAAAAAAAAAAGAATAAGTTTTGGGTCCAATTTTTTTTGTTATTCTTAGTTGCATATCTCCTTATTTAGAGCATTGTTTTTAAAAATGACCCAAAAACCTCATTGTTTTTTCTTGTGCTTTATTCTGAAAGATGACAAATGTTCTTTTTAAACCCGCATTGCGTCTTATGCTCTTTTCTTGGTAAAAAATGACCTTCAAAAAGTTTGAAATCCTTCTAGGTTTCCTTTAGATTTTTGTTTTTTCTAGAACTGGTCATCCACATATTATCTAGATGCTATTTTAGTCAACCTTGTTTGATATTTAAATTTGAAAAAGAACCGGTTTTAGGAATCTTTTAATTTATAGAAAATGTAAGTTTTTTTTAATCTTTTAGGCTTCTTTTTCAATCTTTGCTACCGTTTCCATTGAGACTTTCTGAACCATAGGATTCCCTTAGAAAACTTTTTTGTGGCAACTTTAGAGTATTTTTTTTAGAACCCGGTATATCCATTGTTTAGTTCTCCATCCTTGTAAGATTTTTAGCTCTCTTTGTTTTAAAAATTTTTTGGGCATAAAGTCTTTGGCGTGGGTGTGTAAGGTGCATTTTGTTCTTCTTGATGATGATAAAAAAGTTTTGTTTCTTTTTGGTCTTTTGAACGAGGACGTTCAAGTCTTAAGTGTGGGGGTATTTGATAAGTCGGGTTTGGGTTAGTTCTTTTTATTCTTTTTTAGGCATTTTTAAGATTTTTAGAGTTTAATTTTTAGTTGTTTAGCTTAGTTTTATTTTAATTTTATTTTTACACTCTTTTTATTTTCTCTCAAAAATAGTAACTTTTTAATCATTTTTTTACATTTCTTTTATTTTTATTCTATTTTTCCTAACCCAAATTATCAGATATCTTATTTGTGGAGAAAGTGCAGCATAAGGCCAAAGTGCAGTTCAAGTTTAAAAAGAAGAGATCAAAATTGGGTTGAAGCTCAATCCATCATCAACAACAATAACCGGCCCATTCCTCCTCTGCTTTTTAATTCGCACAACTAAAAGAAGAAGAAAAAAAGTCTACGACTCATTCTTCTTCGCCATTGTCAACGGAGCGCAGCGCCCAAATCAAACGCATAACTCCTCCAACGTTCGGCTCCATCAATTGCGCAGTAATCAATTATCAACGCGAAGAATTCAGCTCCTCCTTGCTATAAATTGAAGAGAATCGACACATATGAAGGGGGGAACTCACACAGAGAATAAAACAAGAATAAAGCAGCGGCTTGGCCGCTGCTATGGTGGTCGCCGTCGATGGTGGCAGGCGGCGCGGCGAACGGCCGGCAGACGGGCAGCAGCTCCAGCTCTGGTGGGCAGCCTCCATCACAGCTCTAGTTTACTCAATTTGTTCATCTTCTTCAACAATTGGTAACTCTTATTTGTCAATTTCTTTTTCTTCTCCAATTTTTTGTTTTTTATTCAATTTTACATTTATTGTTTGTTGTGTTTGTTCCAAATATTCCAAAAATGGTTGGTGTTCTTTATGGGTTTTTTTTATGTCTATATTAAATCCCTTATGAATGAGAATTGATTCAAACTAGTTTTTCTTCAATTATTGAGCAAATTATTGTTGAATTGGTTGAATTACATAATTTGATTTCATAAGTAGGTTGGTATGTGGAATTCGGTTTTTGTTGAAGCTATTTTAGCTCCATAAGGTAGTTAAATGAACTCCGAATTCATACGTGATTCTTTATCGTGCCTTGTGTTCGTTGATTTTAAAGATTTTGGACTTCTTAGCCCCATAAGTTGATTCATTTTTCTTAGAATTCGTTATTGAGTGATTATTATGTTTTCAAGTGTTTGTTTGTTATTTTCATTGAGTTGAGGTTGTTTAAGCTCAAAAACAATTCTCAATTTATTGAAAATATGTTGTGTTCATCTACGTGAATAGAAAAAACGTCATTGGTTTGAGAAGTTCATGGAAATCTGTAAAATGTGCTCATCATTAGGAGAAAAAGTTTATTAAAATACATAAGGTATTGGCGGTTTGTGAATAGATTATGTATGAGAGTTGAATGCATAATAGATTCTCTCTTTTATAAACTTTTTCTATAGTGGAAGTATGTTCTCATGCTTGAATAGAGAGTTGGGGTTCTAAGGTATATTTCAAAACGGGCTTTTGAATTGCATGACTCCGGGCGGTGTGGAGAGTTGACAATCCTCCATATCGTGGTTAAGGAAATGAATCGACTCGGCCTTTGATTGATAATGACAAAAGGGTGACAAAACATCATCATCATTTTGTGCATCAAGGCTAAGAATCAAAGCTACAACAACTTCATATCCGTCGTGAAGAAGGGACTTGAGCATCGGTGGAAGGAACGAGACCGAAGAGGTTGTTTCCTTAGTTGGGTAGTGTTTTAGGTCTTAGATTTTGTGTTAAAGAGTATGGCATCTATAAGGTTCATTCCCTTATCATCCTGCCTTTAAAACACATTTTTTTCAGCAAACTATTCAAATAAGTTGAAAACTATTCGAATAAATTCCTGAACTTCTATTCTGACTTAGTTGAATAAATCCAGAACTAGTTGAATAAGTCAGATTGCAGTTTCACCACAACTAGTCGACTAAGTCAAGGACTTTGTCGAATAGTTCGGCAGTTTCAACTCTTAAACGACCATTTTTTTCAAATCTTCTGGTAGATACTCCGTCCTATCCTTATTTAAACTACCTTATCTCGTGTTTTTGGCCAAGAATATACATTGAAAACACTTCAAAAACATTTCCTTTGAATATCCAAAGAGATTCTACTCAATCCCCTCCTTATATCCAAGCAAGGCAATTGTTTTGATTGCTAAATAATTTCTTGCTTGAGTTTTTTCTCATTCCGAAGTCCGGCGACGTCGGCCGGCGGTGGTTGCCGGAGTCCAGCAACGGCGACTGGGGGTGGCCGGAGGTGGCGGCAGCCGGCGGTGGTCGCCGGAGTCCGGCGGCGGCGACCGGCGGCAGGCGGCGGTCAATGCTGGCAGTCAACGATCAAAGTCTAGTCAGCACCCTTCCTTTGATTTTTTTTTTTCAAAAAAAATTTAAAGTATTGAAAAAATATGGTGAGTTTTGCCTTACAGTTTGATGAGCTTTGTAGTTATCTTTGGTGAGCTTTGAAGTGGCTAGTGGTGAGCTTTGCGTCATCTCACCGAAGCATGTTATCTCACCATAAGGTGTCATCTCACTGGAGTCAATCCCTATATATATATATATATATATATATATATATATATATATATATATATATATATATATATATATATATGATAGCAGCAAGGAGGAGATTCACCTCCAGAGTTGGGAATCTCCTCCTCGTAGCCTCCATAGCCAAAGCTCTTTCAGCGCCGGGAGGCTCGCGGAACCTCGACGGCGCTAATGGATCCATCTCCCTCTCACAAGATCTCGTCCTCAGAGTCCTCCGCCGCAACTACCTCCACGTCTCCAACAAGCTGGATTTCTTCCGATGGTGCTCTCTCCGCCCCGGATTCAGGCACTCCGCCGCCACCTACTCCCAGATTTTCAAAACTCTTTGCCGTTGCGGCGGCCACCACGAGGAGATCGCCGCCCTCCTCGACTCCATGAGGCGCGACGGCGCTCAGCTCGACTCCGCCACCTTCAAATTGCTTCTCCACTCGTTCATCAGATCCGGTAAGTACGACTCCCCGCTGGAAATTCTGGATTTAGTTGAAAGCAATTTCAGGGACGACATTGCTCGCAGTCAATTGAGCAATGTAGTTTATAACTCCGTTGTGATAGCGCTTGTCCGTAAGAATCAGCTAAGCACGGCTTTATCCATATTCCTGAAGCTATTAGACTCCAATTCTAGTATTGATGATAGTAAGAATGGGGATTTCATAGAAGATACCATTTCGTGTAACGAACTACTGGTTGGTCTCAAAAAGGCTTACATGAGAGCTGAATTCGTGCATATCTTTGATAAGCTCAGAGAAAGGAAGAATCCTTGCCCCTTAGACAGATGGGGTTATAATATATGCATTCATGCTTTTGGTCTATGGGGAAATCTGGGGATTTCTCTGATACTGTTTAAGGAGATGAAGGAGAGGGGTGATGCATTTGCTCCTGACATCTGCACTTATAACAGCCTAATTCAAGTCCTCTGCATGCTGGGGAAAGTGAAGGATGCTCTCATTGTCTGGGAAGAGCTGAAGAACTCCTTAGGTCTGGAACCAGATTACTTCACTTACCGAATTCTCATCCATGGCTGCTCGAAGTCGTACATGGTGAACGATGCCATGAAGATTTTCAGTGAGATGAAGTTTAACGGCTTGCGCGCGGATACGGTTGTGTATAACTCACTCATGAATGGATTGATGAAGGCTGGGAAGTTAACGGATGCATGCAATCTGTTTGAGAGAATGGTTGAAGAAGATGGTGTTCGTGCCAGCTGTTGGACCTATAACATTCTCATTGATGGCTTGTTTAAGAACGGAAGGGATGTGGCTGCTTATACACTCTTCTCTGATCTGAAGAAGAAGAGCAACAATTTCGTGGATGGGATTAGTTACAGCATCGTCGTTTTGCATCTCTGCCAGAAAGGCATGCTTGAGAAAGCAATGGAGTTGGTGAATGAGATGGAAGGCAGAGGTTTTACTGTTGATTTGGTCACTATCACTTCACTATTGATTGCAATTTACCGCAAGGGGCACTGGGACTGTATGGAGAGGCTTATGAAGCACATTAGGTATAGCAACTTAGTTCCCATTGTTTTCAGGTGGAAAGCCTCCATGGAGGCTATGCTAGAAGCTAGATAGAGCAAGGAAAAGGATTTCACCCCAATGTTTCCATATAAGGGCAATTTCACTGATGTTTTAGGCACTGGAGATTCAGTAGAGATCGAGGCTTACGACGGTGATAATGAAACTGACCCTTGGTCATCTTCACCTTACATGGATTTTCTAGCCAGCCAAACGAGCCTGGACACTCTCCAACCCCATATGTTCACACTTTCCAAAGGAAAACGCGTTAACGGTAAGAACCAAGATTCATTCGACATGGACATGGTGAATACCTTCCTGTCCATATTCCTCGCCAAGGGGAAACTGAGCTTAGCTTGTAAACTATTCGAGATTTTCACAAACGCGGGGAGTAAGGACCCCACCAGTTACACATACAACTCCATGATGAGTTCGTTTGTCATGAAGGGATACCTCAATGAAGCGTGGGGGGTTTTCCATGAAATGGGAGACAAAGTTTGTCCAGCAGACATAGCAACGTACAACGTGATCATTCAAGGTTTAGGAAAGATGGGTAGGTTTGATCTGGCAAGCGCCGTTCTTGATAGACTGATGAAGAAGGGGGGAGGGTACCTTGACATTGTGATGTACAACACGTTGATTAATGTGCTGGGGAAAGGGGGCCGAATCGACGAAGCAAACATGGTTTTTGGACAGATGAAGAGGGTGGGGATAAATCCTGATGTTGTCACTTACAACACTCTTATTGAGGTTCACAGTAGGGCGGGGAGACTTGAGGAAGCCTACAAGTTTTTGAAGCTCATGTTGGACGCCGGGTGTGTGCCAAACAATGTGACCGACACCATCATGGAATCCCTCGACAAGGAGATTGAAAATGTACGTTACCGGAAGGCGTCGCTTAAGAACCCGCCTTAATGTCATATGCTTCCTTGTGAATTGCTGCTTTGGGATGCCTATAAACTGTGTTTTTTGGGGGACGCTTACACTATGTTTGGTATTATAAATGCAGAAGGAAAAAGGTAGGGGATATATATATATATATATATATATATATATATAAAATATATATATATATATATAACCCGAAGAAGATCCACCAAAATCGGTGGGGTAAGGTCCAGGCCGCCCTTACCAATTTTATTAGATAAAAAAATGATAACACGTTCGAGGAGGACTAGACCGAGGCCTCGAAGGTAGGACAAAATACATTAAAAGGACAGTTACAACAAAAGTAAAAACTGGCACAAAATACAAAACTGTAGCCCAAGAGAGGACGGAAATCAATCTGTAGAACGGAAAGCCCAATCCCTAATTACCCTTCCACTGAGCGCCCGGATTTGAATCCTTTCATGGATTAGTTCCCGATCGTAGATCATCCATTTCTTGTGTCTGTATTTCCAGCACCAGGATTGAAGGTTACTAATAATGTCCTTGGTGATGTCCTCGACCCTGCATTTGTTATTCCCAAAGTTAACAGCTGCATAATGCTTCC